AAGCCCCACCAGGGAGTGACTTGAAGATGCCCTCCATGCCCACACAGACCCCCAGGAGGGGTGTATATTGGGGCAGGAGGGAACCACATCCCAAATGCACACGCACCTGCCCCCAGATCACCTGCCGATACCGGTCCTCACCTGGGGAGTTTCCTGCAAAGACTCCCAGGGTGTCCAGCCTTCGCTGTCAATCGCCACTTAGACCTGGGGAATTTCACAGCCTCGTGGGGAGCAGCCAGGGGGCTGCAGCTTCCTCCTTCCTTCACCATCAGACCTGGAGAAGAGGCAGGGCAGGGCGGGGCGGGGCGGGTCAGGTTGAGATGGGGCACTCGCTGGCCCCTCAGTGGCCCCGGGTCATCGGTCCTCTCCAGCCGTGATCTCTGGAGCCCAGAGGTGGAGGGACGCTCCCCCCGGGCGGTTCTTTGCGCGTCCGGGCACAAAACGGAGCATGGCCTCAGGAGGAGCGGGCGCCCAGTCCCCGAGGACCACTGCGGAGGGCTCTACTCCACGTGCCCCTCACTGCTCCCACTCCCCTCCCCAACCGACGTCAGGGTCCTTCTCTACAAGCGCGTTAGCCGTGAATCTAACAGCGATCACCCCTCAGCGGACACGCGTGTCCACCCGGGGAAAGGACCTGGACCTCGCCGCCAGCCGGCCAGCCCCTCCCCGTATCCCGCCGGCTCCCTCTCTCCGCGCCTCCTCTCCGCCTCACCCTCGCGCAGTCTACTAGCCTCATGAGGCTCGGGTTTCCACGCACCTGGGGTGCCGGGGTGCAGGGGCCTGGGTCACCACCGCCTTATTTTAACAATGAATCAGAGCGGAGCCGGGAGGTAAATGAAGACCACGCCCCCCCGCGCTCGCATAGGCCCCCTGAGGTGCTTCATTTACATGAAGACCGCGGGATTGGACAACTCGGCGACAAGGGGCGGGGCGCAGGCGGGCGGCGCCCCCAGCCGCGAGCTCGGGGCCGTACTCACGTTTAGCTGGGGCAGCCCCCATCCCACCTTGCGGCCGGGTCCCCAGGGTGCGCTGGAGAGGGTGACACTCGCTGGCCTGGCTCCTTCCGACATTGTTGCCACTGGTGCAGTCCGCCACGGTCCTCTGGGTTGACCGTGGATCTCCCGCCAGAGTTTTAATGGAGGGCTGGGTTTTCTTCCCCGAAAGTGAAGAAAGCAAATAGTGAGTCCTTGCGGTGATCAGCGCTTCTCAACCCCCATTTGCACACTTTCACTGACACACTTTTCTCTCCCAAAACGCACAGTACCCTCTTTTAAAAAGCTGTCCCCTTTCTGGGTAAACAGCGGGGACTACCTCAAATCGAAGAGCTTCTGTACGGCAAAAGAGACACTACATAAAACTGACACCCCACTGACTGGGAGAAAATTTTCACACATAATACAAATGACAAAGGACTGATCACAAAGATATATAAAGAGATGATGAAACTCAACAAATATAAAGTGAACAGCCCCATCAAAAAATGGGCAAAGAGCTTCCATCTCCAAAGAGGAAATGCAGGCGGCTAACAGGCATATGAAAAACAGCATCACTTGTAACAAGGGAGATGCAAATCAAAACTACAATGAGCTACCACCTCATACCAGTGAGAATGGCACATATTAAAAAAAAAACAAGCAGCAATAAATGTTGCGAGGGTGTGGAGAAAAAGGAACTCTCCTACACTGCTGGTGGGAATGCAAACTGGTGCAACCACTATGGAAAGTTGTGTGTGGTTTCTCAAACTGCTAAAGATGCAGCTTCCATATGATCCAGCAATCCCACTCCTAGGAAAACATCAATTCAAAAGGACACCCACACCCCTATGTTTATTGCTGCCCTATTAACAATAGGAAAGATGTGGAATCAACCCAAGTACCCAAAAATAGATGACTGCATGAAGAAGATGGCGGCAGATATACACAATGGAATATTACTCAGCAATCAAAAAAGATAAACTCATGCCACTTGTAACAACATGGATGGAGCTGGAAAAAAAGCATGCTTAGTGTAATAGCCAGAAAGAAAAATACCAGATGGTTTCACTCATAGCAGGAGTGTAAGAGATTGGGGGGGGGATATATATGAACTGTAATAAAGTAAAAAAGAACATCATCTAACAACTATAAACCAGAGACATTGTATGGGGAGAAGAGAGGAACAGGATCGAAACTGGGGTGGGAATGGGACATGGGACTATGGGGATGGCACACAGGTGAAGTCCATGGGAATACAGCTGAGATGAAAAAAATGTAGAAAATGAAGAATAATGTAAAAAATGTATTTAAAAAATAAAAAATAAAGGTGAAAAAGAAAAAAGCTGTCCCCTTTCTAAAGCTAACTTTTATTCTGCATATGTACCAGCTTCTATTCCAAACCTTTACATTCGGAAGAACTTAGTCCGCGGGAGGATTAAGTCCCGAGATGCTCCTCATAGCACCTGAGGATCGGAGGATGCACCTGCCGCTGTCACACAGCTGGTAGGTGGCAGAACCAAGCCTACAACCCCAACGTGCCGACTGCCCACCGCCAGAGAGCGTCTTCATTCACTCACTCACTCAGACATCACACGTATACGCCAGGCCGCCCTGGGCTCTGGGTAACACATGTGAAATGCGGCCCCCCTTCTCTGAGGAGGACCCCACTGATCAGTGGGCGAGATGCCTGGCCCAGGATGGAACAGAAGACAGACTCCTAACAAGGAGAGCGTTATGGCCCTAGTTACCGCAGGGAACTACAATGAGGCTCAAGCTTGACATCTGGCCTTGCACTTCCTTACTGGGAGCTTGGGGAAGTTGCTTCACCTTTAGGTGTTTAGTTTGAGGTGCAAGCTCATGATACGGCCCCGCGCCTTCTAGTCCTGGCAATCAGTAAACTGGGAGCTAGCTCAGAATGATGACACTCCCGATGGCACCTAGATTCATTAAATATGACCGTACTTTGTCAATTGTGAGGACACATCAGTGAGCACAGGTCACATCTGCTTCCGTGGTAGCTTATGTTCTCGTGCACACAAACAGACCCCTTGTCAGCCTATAGCCCCAGTGGAGTTGAGATCCAAAGCACCAAGCTTGCTTTTACTGGAGAAGTCAGAAATCTAAACTTTTATATGAAACATCAAAAATTTTAATTTCAGCTGAGTCAAACCAAACTGATCTTCAGGCCTCCTCTCCTATACACCCTCTGAAATGGTAAATCACAGATTTTCACTCCCTTAGTGGTGGCTTGAATGTTGCCTCTTCCAGGAAGCCTTCCCTGACTTGCCCAGCCTTAAATAGGGGTTCACTCTGCTGGGATCCAGTGCAGGACCCGCATCTCTATGGGGTGTCTTTCATTCTGTGGATCATGGTGCTCCCTGGAGGTAAGAGCCTGAATCTTGGGCGCCATTTTCTTGGGCTTATTCAGCTCCTCTGGCAGTTTTAATGTGCCAAGCAGGGATTGTATCTAGGTGAGGGCTATGTGCCTTGGGCATGGCTATCCTGCGTCCTCACCTGGAGATGTTCATGGACCCCTAGCCCCAGAGGTCACCCACAGCTTAAATCCCAGTTCCAGTTAGAGCTCATCTAGGATAGTGTCCTGCCCAATGGGGATGGAGGACCTTGATGGATCTCACCTGCAAAATGGGCTTAATGGAATTGTCTGCCCAGTGAGGTTACGGTAAAAGCTGTGCGCTAAACCAGTGTTCCCGTCTCTGGTGAACTCTGTCATCCCCCCAGCCCATACACACACCTCTAGCCTGTACCCCAGTTGTTGTATGTACACATAAATAAATTAAAACAAAACTTAGGCCCTCCCTGGTGGCGCAGCGGGTTAAAGCACTGCACTGAGAAGCTAAAGCCACTTCCGCATGAGTTCGATTCCAGCCTGCCCCGGAGGAGACCACATGGCGAGGCAGACCTCTCCTGACCCGCCCGCTGCTCCCCTCAGCAGGGTACTTCATAGATCTGCCT